TCAACGATGATGGCCGGGCCTGATTTCCTATGGCGGGGGAGAGCAGATAGGAAGTAGTGTATGAGGGGAAGAGGATGGAAGGCCGAGACTGAGCCACAGCAACGAGAGAGATCAACCCCGATGTGAATGCAGATCATAGGACATGCACTCAGCTTGCGATGACACCAATCAGAGGCCCCAAGGCTAACACGGGGAGAGGAGGAGGAGCACCAAGTCCTGATCCCTCTCCTGTCGGGGGGAGAAAGATGAAGAATGAGGAGGAGGGGCGAGTATGTCATGTCTTGGCAGCCATCGAGAGCCTCAGGCACGTGCCGCCCGCCCAAAAAACAGCATCTCATCTTCAGCTCCAAGTCGGCCTCTCCATCGTTTGGCCTCCTCGCCTGCTTCCGTTGCGATCTGCGCCTCTTTGTGGCATACTCCTTTTTACTGCTTCTCATTCGTCGCTTTACTGAGATTAAGGTGTCTCCTCCTAGGTAAGTGTCTCTCATCGATCCTATCATCTCTGCGTATCCTGAACTGACGGCCCCATTCAGGTCCGGTCACAAAAAACGAGACGTCGAGCAAAAAGACCTCCGCATTTATATTTGCCGTTTCCGCCTTCGAGCTTGCGATGGCCGTATAGACGGGTTCTGCTCCGTCAGCTCCTGGTCCACCTCGCTTCGTGATTCTTATGGCTCCCATTGAGGCAACGCGTGGCTGAACAAGTCGAGGCAACTTTCCGACGTGCCTGGACATGATGAACCATCATCTGCCCGCAGTGCCCCATGGGCAGCCACCCATGCCGCCTCCTCGACGACAACAAGATCTGCCCTATGCTGGAGGACCGCCCAACATGCGCTCTCCGCCCGCCTATATGGGTTATCACCCTCACATGAACGGCCATCCGCCTCCTGCTTACTCACCGCAACAATATGGTCATTGGTATCCAGCGTATCCTCAGATGCAGCTTCCTCCACGACCATTCCAGCCTCCATATGCGCCAATGGTTGTCTCTTCGTACCCTCATTCGCCGTCTGTCATGGCTCCATCTCACATGCCACCCCCGTCGCTTGCAATGCAGCCTAGAGCCGTGACTCCTCTTCAATCTACCATGTCTCCGCCGGTCGGACCGGTGCCTGTCCCATTAAACATGCAGGCTCAGTCTCCTGCGGATATTCCTGTTCATTTCACACCCAGTCCTGTTGTGTCTTCGCCATCTGCTTCAGCGCCTGTAATACCCGCAGCCCCTGCTCCGAGTGAGCCTTTCCGTGCTCCGGTGAGTGTTTTGACCCTGTTTGGGTTCCAGTCTCGGATGTTTTTGCTGACCAAAAGATCCCAGTTGCCTTGGCTCTCGGTACCCGATCGTCCTTTCCCTGCCAGGACCCCTCACAGACGTCGAAAGGGTCGCAATTTACAATCTTCATCTGTCTCGGTCGAGCTGCCTTCAAAGGAACCGCAACTAGTTAAGCAGGGTGAGAATCTGGATGAAGAGAAGCGGGTCGAACAGACTGTGCAAGAACAATCAGAACCCCAGACTCCATCTCTATCTGCTGCTCCTTCGGTTGCGGATTCGACTCAGCCCACGACACCGTCTTCGGCTGTTGCGCCCACAACTGCCCGCCCCCAGTCACACTCGAAAGGATCAAAACCCACCGTTCCTGTAGTGCCTGTTTTGCCCGTCGTCCCAAGCCCTGTAGCCCACCGGCAGCCACCCAAAGACGACGCGAGTCGTGCTCCTGGAACTCCTAAATCAGCAACAGCCTCTGTTATCTCAGCGAACGAGACACCAAAAGAAGATGCCGCTGAAGAGACAGCCAAGGCGGCTTCGCCTCCTCGTGCTGCCCCTAAGTCTTGGGCAGACCTTGTTCGAGCAAAAGGAGGGTCGAGAGTCTCGGGCCCAGCCGGTGCTCACTCGGTCGAGTCTAACGGCTTGGTCATGCACAAGAGCGAATCCCTGGCAGATGTACTAACCAGTCTTGGGGAGGACGTTTCTCAGTATAGCGACAAAATCGCCTTTCTAGAACCAAGAGGGCTTATAAATACTGGAAATATGTGTTACATGAACTCCGTAAGTTGGCACGCGATTTGGTCTGCTGATTCACATTTACTAAATATCTGAGAACAGGTCCTTCAAATTCTGGTCTCTTGCATACCGTTCTATCAATTTCTGGACCATGTCGGCAGACGAGCATCACATAGCGTCCAGAGCGCATTTCCTATGGTTGATGCTATGTCAGTTTGCCCTACTTACTACTTACGTACGACAATGCTGACTTCGTGTCTTAGGATCATGTTCATGAAAGAATTTCGTGTCATTGACGCTGCTCACTCGGAAGAACAGTTGAGGCTTCGGCTGAAACCTAATGAGCTCGAAGAATATGGCGAAGCTTTTACCCCGGACTTTGTATACGGGGTGATTCGACAATTACCCCGATTCCGGGACATGCAAGTAAGTTTTGCTTTTCACACGACTAATGGTTGCTCATCAATTAATCTTTTATTAGCGAGGTCACCAGCAGGATGCTCAAGAATTCCTGGGATTCCTTCTGGAGGAAATGCACGAGGAATGCGTTCGAGCTGCGAAAAACCTGAGCACGACGAAACCCGCAGCTTCAACATCCGCTGAATCGATTGATAAAGAGGAGCAGTCTGGCGATGGGTGGCTAGAAGTCGGACACAAACAAAAGGCTGCAGTCACACGCTCTTCCGGTCACGTCGCGCAGGAGTCACCTATCACCAGAATATTCGGTGGCAAGATCAGATCGGAGTTCAAGGTACCGGGCAACAAGACTTCCGTGACCTTGGAGCCTTATCAGCCTCTGCAGCTCGACATTGGCTCCCCCGATATCCACAATATTGTCGACGCTCTGAAAGGCCTAACCAAGCCGGAGAGCATCCAAGGTGACTTCAACTCTTCACGTGGTCCCAACGTCACTGCCACCAAGCAGATATTCATTGAGAATCTGCCACCTGTCCTCATTCTCCATCTGAAGCGTTTCCAGTATGACAGCGTGACCAGAGGTACGCAGAAGATTTGGAAGAAGATTGGGTATCCCCTGGACCTGGAGATTCCCCGAGAGGTATTTCCTCCGAACAAACGCAATATTATGATGGCCCATGGTGGTTTGCCCAAATACCGCCTGATTGGTGTCATCTATCACCATGGCAGAAACGCTAGTGGCGGGCATTACACGGTAGATGTGCGCCGTCAAGAGGGTCGCGAGTGGATTCGTCTCGACGATACAGTCATTCGCCGGGTCAAAAGCGAGGATGTCGCGGAAGCCGGCGGCGAGGAAGATCCTAAGGTGCTTGCTGCCGCGCTCGAGCAGCACAAGCGAGACAATACCTCCAACGCTAACATCTTTGGTCATATTGACCAGGATGATCAGGAGCAGTCTGACAATGAAAGAGGCTGGAGTCAAGTGAATGGAACAAGCACGGGAGGCCATTCGAGCAAGAAGTCCACCTCCGCTGTTTTGAACGGGGCCTCTGCCGCTGCTTCGGGAAGTTCTTCCGGAGTCAGGACTCCCATCGGCCGATATGGGTCTCGTGACAACAAAGTGGCATATCTTCTCTTCTACCAACGTATTGCATGAACGCCAAGCAGACATTGGAAAGCATCGTTGAGTTCCAAGAGACGGAGGCGCCCGCGACCTAACAAAGGTCCCCAATAACGAAAAAGTAAGACGCCTCTGCCGCCATTCATTCTGCCGGTGTGCAAGCCTAATCTTTCCACTCTCGTCCATCCTCCAAATCGCTTCCTCTAACTGCACGCCTGATTCGTTACATTGATGCGACCTATCATGCATGGACTCCTGAATCTTTTGCTGACCTCCCTAGTCTCTCTATCGGCTGTACATACCACTCGACATAAGTCTGAGTACCCCTCCGCAGTTCATTTGTCATGAGTCCACTGTTCATAAAGCGGATGTTGTTTGAGCGAATTTATTCGAGGCATATCGGCTAAAGGAAGCAATCGTTTCCTTCATCCATCCACTCTTTCCTCAAGACTTGGCTTATATCTGCAATATCAGCACTTGATTTACTTGCTCGGATGACTTTTCCATGATGAGCGCCTCGCATTCGATACCTGTTTCTTTCTCGCATCTCTCTTCTTCCCGATGATGTTCGTCACGACTATCTTTTATTTTATTTTATTTTATTTTATTTTTATTTTATTTTTTTTTTTTCACCATGTTTGTATTCACAGTGCTGTATCTGGTGGAATATTTCCCCGGTATATACCCCCATTTTTTCGCATAGCTCCACATTTGGTTTTGCCTTGCGGACAAAAAAGGGGTCTTTTTCTGATATGTGGCGTGGATTGGACTTATGACGACCCTACGAATCTTCTTATCCATAGACATGTTGATCGAGAGGATGCGTGGCTTTTCCTTTTTCGGCTGATCAGGCAGACATTCGAGCGGTGGAGGTGTGCACGAAGGGGATCGATTACTGGCGGCTGTAAAGGCCCGGCTCTGAGGGGATGGTCGCTGAACTGATTCTCTACTTCTTGCCTCGATAGGCGCTACGTGTAACCTTTTCATGATGGAAATATGAGGACATTTGCTTTCATGAGGGGTGACTTTTCGGTGCGTGTGTCTCAATTGACGACGATGACGATGATGATTTGATGGAGTGAGTGGTGGTCAAAGCGGGACAAAAAGGATGGGATGGGAGTTTATGAAGATCTCAAAAGCATGTTTTAGGAAAATCTAACACATTTTCATCTAATCTGCTGTGTCTGATCTCGAATCTGTAATATGTATATTGTGCTATATCGACCAGGCGTCCAACGAAATTTGACCACTATGCGTCGGGGTATTTATCTTCAAAATTGAGCCAAAGCGGCCAAGTATAAACGCAAAAAGACCGCGCGGTATGTATCAACGGTCTATCAAATGTTGAGCCTATTTATGTATCCAGATTGGCAAAAGCATCTTTTAAGTGTCTACGAACGGACACCATCGGGAAACGAGAGTCCAGGCTGATATCGCTGGAAGCAATGGATCCTTCTCAGATCATTGTCTCTGGACAGGCGGAGCAGCAACAGCTGGAATAGCGCCCGATTCAGCATCATGGATGATGAGGTTCACCGGTCTAGCAGGTTCTTCGGCGTTTCCTGTCCCGATCTGCGGCTGCTCCGTAGAAGACGTTGGCCGAATCACCGATCGGCCAATCTGGAAGACGGCAGGTTCCGGGGGTTCGCGCCCATTGCCGCGCTTACGGCCTCGGTTGGCAGACGGGCCCCGGGTGGCCGTGCTGTGGGTGTGGCTGATATTCGCGATGGGGACCGGATCAGGGTCCGTTGGGCTGCTGCTGCTGAGAACGCTGGAGATGGTCCGAGGAAGATGATACCCGGCTTTGACCAGTGGGATGGAAAGTCCATGAACGACCTGACAGCAAGTTAGCGACGCTTCCGCCCTGTTATGCGTGCAGACTTACGATGCTGCATATAACTAGAAACCAGACAACCACGTCAACGGCTTCCGAGACCCTCTGCGCGTCCTCACGGACTTTGCCCTCCACCGTGATTGTACGCAGATATTCACGGGTCACTGACAGGTAGAAGATGGCTCCGACCCCGATGGGTCCGAAGAAACCCACAAAACCAGCTTGAAAGAGATGCTCGATCTGATGAATGTACTTGTGCATAGCGAAAATGATCGGCATCCGGCGAACAAGTAAAATCAGAATGCCCAGGAATATAAGGCGGTAGATTGGAATGATGCCGTTGTTCACGAACGACGACCACGGACAAACAGCGCCAAACCAGATGAATACGGCCAAGTTAAGAAGCATATCAATAGTCGGTTGGAGCGAGTCATCCATCGTTTCTAGGCGAAACCAATCGCTGATTGCGTGAGTATAACGTATGCTTGGATCTGTCGACGGGAACTTACTCCTGAGTGAAGACATTTCCGGCAACGAAGCAGGCTAAAAGATCGTCGGTCCCAATCATGCCACAGGTCCCGAGCATAAAGAGCTGTACATCATTAGCAATTGAAGGTGCTTCGAGGTGCAGCGGTGCCAAACATACTGCAAGAGAGATGGCAAAGACGAGAAAACTTTCGCGATCAACATAACGTTTCTCCTCGGCCCAGTGAAGCAGCTCTCTCGAAACCCAGCCGACGGCGATCCCGTACACGACGCTCAAGATTACTGTATAGATCCATGTTTCGTAGAACCAGAGGCCAATTGCCTTGCCAGCACCTCCACTATAGCCCTGACCATCCATTCCAATGTATTTCAGGAGGTACAATCCGAAAAAGAGAAATGGGTAACCAAGCCCATCGTTTGCTCCCGACTCGGCAACGATGATTCTTTGCAGAGGACGGGGAACATTTTTGTCCGCGAATTTTCCCTTCACGATGGAGTTGGACAGGACGGGGTCGGTTGGAGTAATACAGGCACCAACTATGAGCGCGTGGAGGAACTGAAAATTGGGAATCATAGCCCAGATCACCAAGCTGCTACACATCCACATGGCGGCCATTCCTGGACCCAGGAGAAGCGACAGGCTCTTCCATTCTATCTGCAAGTAGCGTTTCGGAAGTTGAATACCAGCCAGTACCAGCTGGACCCCAAGAACGAGCCTGGTGAAATACAGAGTGATTTTCTCTAGGTTCTGCTCCGAACCTAGAGCATACTCTTCGGGCCTTATGAAGTTGGCCGCATGGGGGGAGAAGACGATCCCCGCCAATAGAGAGATCACTGCGTATTGCCCGTCAGTCACAGTGTGCTAATTGCAATGCATTTGTTGTCTTAGAAGGAAGGGCATCCCACGAACATGCTTCAGACAAATAAAACCTCTCCTTGAACAAATAGGACACCAATCCGAAGACGGAGATAAAACCCCCCAACGTCGCACAGACGATGTTGAAGTTGATCAGCGAGAGAGTAGGCATGGCTGCTCGTAGCCCCTTGCTTGCAGTTTCGACTCTATGCGTTGACTATTGACTGTAAATCTACCACAAATCGCTAGTCCGGCTTATCGTGCGGAATGCGGCCAAGCGGTGTCACAGCGTGGGCAGGTTTGACAGGATTGTTCCACGAATGCAGAAACGCGATAATGATGCTCCAATAAATCCGAAGATATAGTAGAGATGGATGAATCTCAAGAATTACCAGCAAGTGTTATTCAATCATAGTAATATAAACGAGTTTTCCCACAGTCTTCTTTCCAATCATGTAGATGTTTGCTGGCGATAGGCCTGGTATCGGCACTCTGGGACGCAAGTCTACCTGGCTGAACGAGGAACGATGGAGGACGTTGCAAGCAACCATAAAAGCTCAACCCAAAAGTAGAGGTTTTAGTCCACGCAGGATTAGGAAAACGAGTAGATGGATATACGTGAAGGGGGGCAAGGATTCGAAGAAAACATCCGCCAAGAAAGACAGTGAGTGGGGTGGAAATGGCGGCGAGCGAGTCACATGCTGGAGGAATGACCGGTGCTGCCCGGTCTCGGAAATACTGGCAGTATTTCATGGCCTATGAGGTTGGATTTTGGAGTCATGCCTAAGATAATTGACAAAGGAGATAGATAGACACAGCTACATAAAGGATATATGATGTTCAATTGACTCAGTCCATTGTCGCATCTTCCCTTCATGGGAGTATCACACTGCTGTGCGGAACGTCCATTCAACATACCCAGCAGAACTCCAGATTATGTACGTGTTCACAACATGATTCTCAGGTATACAAGCCTAGAAATCTTCGTCAAGAACCTCATCCGGGATATCGCTTGCTGCTTCCAGAGCTGCTGCTTTCTCCGAAACCCCCCTTCGAGCACCACTAACTGCAAGACGGTCAGCAGCTTCGTTGCCCGGATCGCGGTTATGTCCCTTGACCCATTCAAACAGGGTCTTCACTTTGAGCTCATTGCGTTCCTCGATCTTGACCAAAATCGACTCGATCAAATCTTTATTCTCGACCGGCTTCTGGTCGGCAGTCAACCAGTTATTCCTCCGCCACTTGACGAACCATACAGTCACACAATCTATCGCATAACGACTATCTGTGAAGATGGTGACGTCCCGATGCCGAGGAGCGATGTCCAGTGCTCGAAGAATTGCAGTAAGCTCCGCACGCTGATTAGTCTGCCGGTTGCCTCTTAATGGCTCCGAGACGTTTCTGCTGGGAAGAAGGCGTGTCAGTGGAATTCCCAGGTCATGGCAGTTTGGCGCAGAATCTATAGAGAATGCTGAGGACAAACCTTGTATCTCCAGGTCCAAAGAAGACTCCGACGCCTGCCGCTGCCGTGTCTCTACCGTTCTTCAGCGCACTGCCGTCGGTGTAGATGCGCAACATCCCGGGAGGACCAGTCGGCCTCGTCTTGGTTGCAGATTTTTGCTCCTTGGTTTTGTAAACAACCTTTCCTGTGGCCGGGTCCAAAAGCACATTCGGATCAAATCCATCCTCCGCACCTGGTGGTAATGGACCAGTGCCCGGTTCCAAAGTGTTCCCTTGCTCGTCCTTTGGGAGCTCATCCCTAAGACCTGGTGGTCCGGGCAATGTCCGCGACGTAGCAGTACCTCCGGCAAAGGTAGCCCCCGCTCCCTGCTCCATTCTTACGAATTCCTCCGCCTCTTCTCGCGTGGAGAATTTCTTGTAACGCGGGCGTGCAAACCCTTTGATCTGTTCCTGCGCCTTCGCCCAATCTGTATATACACCGGGGACACGTCCTCGCTGGATGCCGTAGAACCTTGTTGGCTCCGAACTTGAAGGAGTGGCACCACGGGCACCTGGAAGCTGCGTCCCTGTAAGGAAAGCATTTGCTTCCTCGTAGGTTGGAAAAGCTTGAACTATTGGAGACGATGAATATTAGCTCAAACTGCGCGCTTAACAGGGCAGATAATTCTTTCGGCACTTACAGACCGCCCCCTTGTACCCCGTCACTTGAGTCAAGCAGTCATTCCATTCGTAGTAGATACCAGGCTGATAGCCCGCCTTGACGGCATAAAACTTCCCCGGTGCGCTTCGCTTTCTCTTGGTACCCATTGTTGCCGAGGCATTGGGCTTGGGACTGGCGGAAGTCTTCGCCGCAGGGCCGGGACTAAGCGAAGGGGTGGTGTTGTTGTTCATCGCGTCGTACAGAGGCTGCAGAAAGGTCGAAAAGAAGCGAGAGGATATTTCGTTCGAAAGCGGTAAGCTTGAATAGACTCTACCTGGAAGTGCAGCCAAGCTTCGAGATACGTTGGAGCAGGATCGAGGGACGAGAATGCTTGATCTGCAGGTCGACGGGGCACACCGGGGCCCCAGCTTTGAAGCCGAGAACTTGAACCACGGGACAGGCGTGGTGGATAGAATAAATGCAGAACTAATCACAATGGCACGAGTTTTCTTGAAACGAGGAGCCTTCAACAGATATAAACGATGAAGGTTGAGGTGAGGGGGTGGAGGGGCCCGACAGTGCGAGAGGGGGGGGTGTCCGGCTTGATGGTGGAGGTTGTTGGGGGCAGAACTTCCTCTTTCACCCCTCTCTTCTATTTCCCATCTCGATATCTGAATGACTCGAAGTCTCTGTCAACGTTAAGGTATTAAACTGAGCCATGAAGTAAGCGGCTTGGAGTATCAGTCTTCTATCCTTGATTCAAGAGGGAGACGGTGAGGGAAGCTTCTTAAACAGTTTCTAGGCCTATATGGACCACCAAGTAGTCTGCTACTTTCCTCCTCAGGCGAACATATCAACGGCATAGTCCATCCCAAACACACAAAAATGCAGGGACAGTTAGTCCATGTTAATGGTATACTATACAGCTCACCCACAACTTGGACTATGAAAATAGTGTTCACTATCAACATCCGAAAAGTTGGTTGCACACACGGCCGTGTATATTCTATCACGTGACTCTATATTGTTGAGCATTATCCGACGACAATCCAGAAATGCAGCCTAGATGCTGCTGATCTTACATAGAATCGTATATCTTTGACATTGGACGGAATATGAGTATTCCTCATTTGAGGTTGCCTCTACCCGGCTGTCCTAGTTCGCCGGGATTACAGAGGACGTATATAACAGCTGCTCAATGAAGCTACTCAGCCATATAGATCTCATAAGCAGGGATCTCTTCTAGTATAGTGGATGAACACGGAATGTTAACTATCCGGACGAGCATCATAATTCATATTATGGGAGAGGTTGTGATCGTAGTCCCCTTGTCTATAAGCCTCTTTATGTTTCTCCCAACGTGAGCCCTAAAGGATCTGTACGTCGTTGCGCATCGCCGAGACGACTAGCACGCCTTCACACACACGAAAACGAAATGTATCTTTTCCCTTGCAAAATTCTGCTCTGGAGCTTCATCTGTGTTCGATGTCCAGACCTGCAGGTGAAAATTCATATCAGCTTTCCAACTCTCCTGCGCAGCTTCACCGGACCCCTTACTGGGGCACTTGAAGCCGGGCAAGCTTCAGAGGTATGTCCCCGTATTATGGGATAGACAAAGATATATCTTGTGTTGACGCGACTGTCTTGTTGGATCAGGATCCTTCCCAAAGGTCAAGAACGCAGGATACCTGCCCCCAGCGCCTTGACATGGCTACCTGTAAGTCGACTTTCTAGTTCTCCGGATACATCAAGGCAGACTTGATGGCGAGATTGGCCGTGAAAGTCTAACTGGTGTATAGACGAAACAGACCCCGATATCGGTTTCGATCAGGACGACCCTAAGTACTGGCGTGCCCTCCACTACAAACTGCACTATGCAATCCTTTACAAGGATGTGGCCGAGGTCAAGCGCGTGTTGAGCTTGGGAGCCGACATCAACTTCAAAAATGAGCATGGCTACACTGCATTGGAGTGGGCGGACCATCTGAAACACTTGGAAGTCGCCAAGTGCCTTCTTCAGACCATGAACGTCAAATTGCACGGATACCTGGAAATCCTCAAGCATATTCGTACCAAGCACCCAATCATTGTGCGCGCTCTGCTGGAGATGGGGGTCGCTGGCATGCTCGCCAAAAACAAGCGCTACCACAGAGGTTTGATCCTGCAGGCTTGTCGGGTCGGCCATCCGACTATACTCCAGATGCTGATAAACTGCGTCCCCGGCTACATGGTCACTGATTACAAACAAGTGTACTTGCAAGTAGCGGCGTCTGAGCATAACGACGATGTCCTGGAGATACTGCGCGAGAGGGCTCGTCAGGAAGAGGCGTGGAGAGAGAACTACTTCAGGCCCAGGGTAAGCCTACCATCCAAACTCACCATGGGTTAGAACCTTGAAGCTGACTGCAATAGACCCCTGTGACTCCGGTTCAGTTACCCCCAAGAGACCTAGAGTACGAGAAGATCTTCGATGAGTACATCAACCCGGACGCATATCTTCCTTGATCAGAACTCGAGTCTGTTGGCTTGGTGACTCTATTGGCTCTGTTGGCCTGCTATCGTGGCAGATGGTAGCATCTTTGTTTATCGGAGCAATGATTGAAAATGTGTCCATGCCTTACGCAGATATGACTAGCGATTGAATCGGAATCCGAGACATTGTATTTGCATATTTGTTCTTCTCCTTGCATAAAGCTGTCAAGGTCGTAGTAGTGTCTTCTATGAGGTTCTTTCCAGAGGACATTTCTAAAGTGAACACGAGGTGTCTGTATTTTCTTGGCGAACGAAGGTACTTCCCAAAGTGGTTCCCGCCGTCGACTACTTAAGCTTCATATGACTGTGGGCATTTTATTGGCAAACGTGTCGTGGATCGTATTGAGTGATATATAAAGGTAGATACAATCATATTTACTGACGGATATTGAATTTTCAATCGAATCAATCACCGAGTTGCATTCTCTAGAAGTTGAGCTGTGATTAACCCCTATATATTTCGACATCTCTCAGGTTATCTATACACCACGGCCATGTCTGAGAACACAAATCAGGATATCTTAACGCTCGTCTTGCAAGAGCTCTCACAGACCCCCTACGAGTGCTCTTCTCTCACCCGGCTCAGCGGAGGAACGGCCAACTTCGTCTATCGAGGTATTCTCGCCAGGCCACTCCAGGATGGGACGAAAACGATTATCATTAAACATGGAGAGGACTATGTTGCTTCTAATCGAGACTTCAAGCTGACTACAGATCGCTGCGTAAGTCTACGAACAAAGATGCTACGGCACTTGTGCTGATCAAAAGCCAATAGCTGTTCGAGGTGACAATCCTGAATGCCTTGATTGACTTTCCCGCTACAACCGAGACGGACACCGACAACAATACCAGCTGCATAGTCAAGACCCCTCGCCTGTTCCAATTTAACCGTGACACCAACACACAGGTCCTCGAAGATCTGCGCGGAGCGCTGGACCTAAAGTCTTTCATGCTGTTCCCCACAAACACGCAAAATGTCTCTCGCGAACTGGCCACTTCTGTCGGTCGTGCGTTGGGAAAGTGGCTGCTCTCTTTCCACAGTTGGGTCTCGGAAGAGTCCCAGAAAGATCTGGTCAAGACGATGGAGAAGAATGAGCTCATGCGCGATCTCAAGTTCACGGTCAACTATGATAATCTCGTTAAGATGGTCGATCAATTCCCAGAATTGCTGAAAGAAAGCCAGCATATCTTCCGCGAAGTCAGGGACATGGCAGCGGCGGAGCTGGGCCGGAAAGATGGGAAGGCGTTTGGAGTGATTCACGGAGACTTTTGGTCGGGAAAGTAAGTTGATCGATCTGTTTACGTTGAAGAGTTCGCTGGGATTGATGAGAGTAGTGTTTTAATTCCAAGCACCGCATTGGATCAGCAAAACGATATTCCTCTCTTCGTGACGGACTGGGAATTATGTCACTGGGGTGCCCGAGCTCTCGATCTGGGTCAGATGGTGGCGGAGCTCTACCAGCTCAAGCATTTCAAGAACATCGACGCAGGAGTCTGGCTCATTGAGGGACTGCTTGACGGTTACGGGCCGATCGATGAAGATATGGCCTTCCGGATCGCCATCCATATCGGCGCTCACTTCATCTGCTGGGGCAGTAGGATTCCCGGTTGGGGAACCAATGCTCAAGTTGAAGAGGTGGTCAAGCTTGGAAGAGATCTCGTGGTTAACGGCTGGCAGAAGGATCGGAACTGGTTTCGGAGAGGCTGGCTGAAGTGCTTGTTCACTGAGGTTTAGAGATGGAGCGATCAGAGAGAGAAACATATGAGCATGATCGACTCCAGCCAGAGGACTCACCACTGAAACTGTCCGGAACATGGGGTCGCTATAAGTCGATTGGCGACTGCCAGCAACCTACTTTAAGAGCAATCACGAGAATTCGACACATACATCAGCAGAGTATAGTAGTCAACAGACGAAACGGGCAGCGATTGGCTGGCATAGTAAATTGGCGCCTATATTTGTATTGGTCTACGGAGTAAGGTTTGGTCGCGGATCTTCACCATGCAACATTTCAAAAGTATGGGTGATTCGTTTTGAGTTTGCATTTGTACAGGTCACGGATCACAAGTAATGAGCAAGGATGTAAGAGGCGAAAAAGGTCATTAAGATGTTCTAAAACTAGAGCTTTGCACGGAAAACGTTCCGAATGGAATCGAGGCCAGAAGGACCGTCATAGATCTGTTGCTCAACGACTCGGGTATTGATCTAATCAAGGTCAGTATGGGGCTGAAAGAAAACTCTCAAGGTGCCGACGTCAGATCTGGAGATTGAGGGAAGTCAACTTACGTGCTGTAGTCCTAAATCCTCCACCCTTTCGACACCAAGCAGCCGCATGCAAGTCTTGGTTTCGTCGGCAAGGACTGAAAAGATGTCAGCCTATGTGCTTCTGATTACTTCTGAGGGTAAAACATACTCTCCAATGTGCGCTTAACACCATCGACGCCACCGGCTCCCAAGCCCCAAAGGGCAGGCCGTCCAATTCCTACAGCTTTGGCACCTAGACAAAGGGCTTTCACAACATCTGTGCCGCGTCGAATGCCACCATCTACCCAAACATCGAGTTTGTCGAAGACCTCAGGGCAGTATTTCCGGATCTCTAACAGAGTATGGACCGGAGGAGGAGCGGTGTCAGCGGCTCGGCCTCCGTGATTCGATAGGATGATACCCTTCACTTGCGGAGTGTGAAGCGACGCGATGTAGGCGTCCTCATGTGTTTGGAGACCCTTGAGAACAATAGGCAAATCTGTGTGCTTAGCCAGCCACGGCAAAGTCTCCTTCCATGTGAGAGATGGGTCTGTTCCGGCAAACAACTGCTTTCCAACACCCCCAGCTTGGCTCACATTCGGACCATCTGCGGCTTTGTCTGCGGCTTTCGCAGCACTGGGAACTGGCATTGAAGCACCAACGTTGTTGCCTCGCTCGTCGTCCTCTCGTTTACCGGGAACGGGAGCATCAAGGGTGAGAACGATGAACTTGATTGCCTTCAGCTTGTTGATGCGTGCCAGCATCGCTTCGCTCTTCTTGCGGTCGATCTGAACATAGATTTGCCATCCAAAAACCTGATCCGGAGCAGCATCCTTGACAATCTGCTCTGGTGTCATGGATGCATTGTTGGAGATGATTTGCATAGCCCCGAAGCTGCGACACGCCTCTGCAATGCCTGCCTCACCTGCTGGATGGCCCAGGCGAGCCATAGCAGCAGGCGACACATATATTGGCATTCCAAGCTTGTGTCCAAGAAAAGAGGTATCCAAATCGCATTTCGTGCAGTCGATAAACACCCTTGGTCGCAAAATGATGGATCTATACACCTCGGTATTGAACCGCTTGGTAATTTTATCATCGGATGCTGAGTAGTAGTAGGCCCATGCCTTTTTGCTGACTTTCTTTGTGGCTAGTTGCTCAATATCGTCCATGTTGAGGAGTGCTTCCATGGGGACCTGCCCTTTGCTCTCCTCGGATGCCGCTGGGGAAGGCTCTGCCTGTACCTTGGGTAGCGTATCTGGGTTGACGGTTCCTAGCAATGCTTCAGGCTTGAGATTCTCCTCGAGAATGCCTGGAGGATGGATGGGATCGTATTCCTCCGTAGCATCTTTGCCGGCAAGCTTGAGAATGATCCTGGCACCACCAGGATGTTCCGAAAGAAAGTCTGTGACCTGGAGGTTGTATGAATCAGACAGGCCGATCTCAGTTAGAAGATAAATGCTGATGGAGACATACATCGTACACTTTTCCGTACAAAATCACCCAACAACTGTCGGGGGTATTATGTTTCGCGACTGAGCATTACGATGATATGGTTAGCCGACATTTTGATCAATTGACAGAGCATCGACAAGGAACTCTCGATGGATGTGCAAGGTGTAGTGTACCTTCTGCAGCGTCAAATATCTTGCCCATCTTGATAGTATTGACGGAGTGCTTATCACAACTCCTGCGAGTGCGTGAAGATCAAAAAGTATGAACAAAGGAGGAGAAATGGCCACGACAAGAGAAGGAAAAGAAAAAGTCGGGGAAATTGTACCCCACAGGCTACCTAGTTAAGCAGATATACATTTGTTGTAACATGTCCGATGGTTCAAGTTATCAAAGCCACCATGATCGAATTTACGGGGACCCCATTCAGTCGTTTCGGACATGAGGCCGACGTGGGGGCAGCTCCATCAATTCCATTGAAAGAGCTCAAGTCTTTTGATGAAGAATGGGGGATGAACCGGCGATTGAACATTACTACATTGGGCAAAGTCGAAAGCCGATACTGGGTTCGTGTTTGTCCTGTTTGTTGGCCGCTTAGAGAACGTTCTTGGATTATTGGTGGGAAAATGAGATGAGGACTAAGGTATGTTGGAACCAAACAAAATAATAATGATATGATCATAGGAGATTCCAGGGCAGTACGGTAGTAGAAGAAGATACTTGCTCAGATTCGAAGAGTTACAAGATAAGACCACATTCCATCGCTGAATTCGGATGGTTAGGATAACTTGTGTTGAACAAGCAATTGACAGGGAACATGATAACCTTCCGTATGGGCCGGCCGTCTTTGCCCTGCGGGATCCACGTGAGCTCCAAAAGTGACGTTTTCTCCTCACGGAAACTTCTGGAGTTCATATCAACCTACACTCGGGACTCAACTTCCAGCTAAAATTGGAGTATCGCGTATCCTTAGAAGAAGGCAAAGAGCTCGATAATAGGATTGGGCAGTCGAATAGCCCAGCTATTATCAACTCTGTTGCGGTGTGTCGCTCTACGGTCTGCTGTCCTTGTGTCACTTAAATTAGCGGGATCATACAATCCAACACTACCTGACACGTCGCTATGTTCGAGGTACGTCTTGAGCATCCCTGAAAATCAGCAAACAATTTTCTTCACTTATTTTGGTGGTGTTCATAAGCATCGTTTGACTTTGTATCACGGCGCTTTCTTGTGGTATGATTCTGACGTGTACCAGCGTCGCGCAGCTGACCGCTATCATCTCCGGATGCACCGTGCCCGGACGGTCGATCTAACATCGGATGAGATTGTCGAAGTACGAGCCGCGCAACGGACTTTTGAAGGCGCCTATGTCCGGACAGCACTGTCACAATTCTCATTTGCCCTCGTTGTCCTCAAGATCTTCACCAGCGAATTCTACAGCACCGGAGCTCTCTTTGCTATCTACGGAACGGGCGTACTCATCATCGGTCTTTTCCGTCGACAGCAGGGAAACCGTCAGTTCTTTTCCGAAGTCGGAGAAGACGGGGTCCATCGCCACAAATTCAAGACGAGTGGGAATGCAGTGCTGGTCCTTACAGCCCTGAGTGTGGCTGCGTATGCGACCCTCATCGCGCTGACCGTGCGGCTGGGCCGATAAGTCCAGGCAGCGGACGGTAAGGGGCGTCGCGTAACCTAATCTCCATCAGTCCACTATCTGAAGAACGACGTGCGTCGGCAACTCTGGAGCCCCTGCGTGACTGCCAAGCGCCAAGAATTCCGCAGAATGCGACTGCTCGCTTCACCCTCGACCGGTGCTTTTCTCGCAATTTATACGATCGGAGCGGAAGGTAAGCGACGGGGCGACCACGGTGACAATGGACTTCCAACAGTGATGCCACTTGGAACAGCCAAGGCTGCCAAGGAGATGTCCAACGGGACAATAAAGCCCAGAAGAACATGCATCACGGCGGACACAAGGCACTTAGTGTGATACAAGTAGGCGCGCTGTCATCCCTGCGCGACACGGAAGGATGCTCAAGCATGGTCGTTCTGAGTGATGCTACCTGAACCCACCTTCAGTCTCTGAACGTTGAGAGGGCAAGATAATACGAGGTCTGGCAACTGGCCAAGCTGCCTAGTGCTCCTGGTAACCCTCGCTGAGCTGCAATGCTGAGTGGTGGACGGAAACCGAGCGAGGAGCAAGGGAGGCATGCAACCTGGACCAATAGGTCAGCAATGGGGCGATTTGGAAATGCTGAATGGCCTGGATTCCGGATGGGGCTGCACTAAGGCAGGCATCTAGACCTTTCGAGCTCGAACTTTGATAGTCCGATCCCCGTTAGATAACAAGCTAGGCGCTGCTTCATCAGGAGGGTGCGGCGAGCTGACAATCAGGTCAGTAGCAATCACGACTGTGATGATCTGACATTGCTCCTCGAGTAGCTTTACACACTGGCCATAAGCCATCGTAGATTATCATCGGTCGGAAGTTCAAACACCAAATTTCGGTGGTGGAAGACGGATGTTAATTTGGTCATGCAACTGCGAGCGTACACCCGAAAGTGCACAGGGATTTTTCCTACTTGTCAGGATAATGAGCCAACGAAATTGTCATTGAAGCCTATCCCTGGATCATGCACTCCGTACAGGATCAGCCTCTTCCCTTCGCATCCTTACCTAGCCAAGCATTCTGAACTTGCCTGTACATCCATCGCAAGCCCAAGCCAAGCCTTTCCCGCTTTTGTTATGGTTGATTATGCACATGGATCGATAGAGCATCACAACACGCCAGCAACCATGATTAAGAATGAATGCTTTCCTCTACGCCGTTGATGACCACTTATATTCTGTTCTCACAGCTTTGAAATCAATAAACAAGTAGCTGATGTAGGTAGACATTATTTGACATCATTGATACAATCGCAGCGGTGATCAGCCTTCCGAAGATCCACTGTCAAGACCCCAGAAGTGACTTCATCAGGGAAAAGAACAGACGACAGACAGTATAACTTTTCCCGGTCGCTGTGATGAGAGAAAACATCCGACTACTATTTTCTTGCTTCTCGAAACTGCCATTCTGCTCCATAGTTTGATCACGTTCTGCCGTGTCCTGTCCTTGCCTTGCGAGCTGGCTTGCCGGCGCACCCGCATCCAATCAACCGGAGATTCCTGGCCATCCACGGATTATCTCTTTGAATGGGAATTGCCCTTTCAGCTGCAGGTTAAATCTGGACGGTGCACACTCTGTATAATTTGGTGAAGTGACTGTTCTTCACTGTCCTTAAACTTCCTGTCCCAGAATTCTCTTTCTCGCAGCAGTGAATTCAGTTTGTTGATAGTAGTGACGTTCTGTTTTCCGTTGCTTGACTCCGTTACCTTACCTGGTATTATTGCTGCTTCCGCCCACCCACCACTTGTTTTTCCCTCTCGCTTTGGCACCCCTCGCCTCAACTTCCTCTGACTCAGGCCTAATCGATCTGGGTGCATTCCAAGCTTCTTCTCACATTTCTCGCAAGATAAGAAATCCTCATTTGTTAGCCACAATCCTGAAACCTCATCTTTGTCTTATTTAAGTCTCCTCTCTTCCCCTCCCCTTTGCATCCCTGCTGTTCTGCGGGGATGGCACAGCAACATTCAGACATTGCGCGTTCCGCGATCATGACGTCGGCCTCATCGCCTGAACGTCAGCGAAACGGTGTCACATCAAATGGAAACCATCATGCAGGTTCTAATAAGCTCGGGACGGGGAAAGACGCCAGTCTTATGCCGCCGAAGACTCTAGTCGGACGAGCGCTAGGGAACGAACTGCATTCCGATGCCCACAAGGGATCGCATGTGTCTAAGGACGGGGTCGGGTTCGCCCTAACAGACACTCCGATTTCTACCGCACCTCCGTCTCCACAGATGTATGTTTTCCTTTTCTTTTCCTCCAATGATTCCCTACAGTTTTATGGCGTTTCTTTTCTTGTTCTGGACCTCGGGTTATTTCGAATTCTAGATCGTGCAGATTGCAGCCCAAAAGCCACTTTGTTTGGGTGTCTGATCGGCAGTTCTCGTGGCGGGTCTATCATCCCCTCGGAACATACCTTGCTTGTATAGCCGACCTATGTTTCATTTCCTCATGTCGTTCTAAGACTTTCTCGTCATTTGCTTTTTATTTGTCTCGGATCATATCTTCATTGTATCAATCTGGTTTCTCCGTCTGGATCGATTGTGTGAGAACGTGTTCCGTACTGACAATAATGCTGAATGTAGCAATGGCGTTAGCCAGGTGTCGACCCCGAGTCGGGTCCGTGCCACCACTCTCGATATCCCAGGTCTTACCAAGTCAAAGGTGTCTCCCGATGGACGTATCGCTCAGAGAGATCTCGGCTCCAAGTTGGTGATTGTCATGGTCGGCCTTCCTGCCCGAGGCAAGAGCTATGTTACCAAGAAGCTGGCTCGCTACTTGAACTGGCTGCAGCATGATACACAGATCTTCAATGTTGGAGAACGTCGTCGTGTCGCGGCTGGCAAGTCGCCTTCCCCGGCCAAAGCCATGGGCCCTCGTGACAAGCGTGCGTCTATGCACAAGGATCTCGTGGATTCTGTGCGACGTCTCAGTGTCAGCGTGGGCACGATGAACCCACAGTCCTCTAAGACTGAAACCTCGCCTCCCGGGGCTGCTACCTCGCCCCCGGAAATCAACGGCCTCCCACCACCGGTTGTTCCCGCTAAGATCCTTATCAATGGGCAGGAAGAAGATCCCTCTGTGCAACAGGAGGGTAGCACGATCATGAATTCTATCGATGCGGGACCGGATAACCAGCAGGCTGTCAGGGAAGCATCGCCGGAGCCGATCGATCAATCGGCATCGTTCTTTGACCCCCAGAATCAGCGTGCTGTCAAGCTGCGCGAACAGGTTGCCCTGGATACCCTGGATGAGCTCTTAGACTATATCCTGGTGCAGGGTGGCAGTGTGGGCATCCTCGATGCCACCAACAGTACCCTCGAGCGCCGCAAATTGATTGTCGACCACATTCGCCAAGTCGCCGGCCCTGAGCTTGGTGTCTTGTTCCTAGAGAGCAGCTGTGTGGATCCCGAGCTCCTGGAAGCCAACATGCGTCTCAAGCTATCGGGCCCGGACTACAAAGGTCAAGATCCCGTGAAGTCGTTGGAGGACTTCAAGAAGCGTGTAGCCCTCTACGAAAAGTCCTACGTCCCGC